GTGCCCACGGCCAGCCTGGCAGGCAGGGTGGCCCAGACCCACGGGTCCCCTGGCCTCCGCCCTTTCTCGGTTTTCTCCCAAATCACCTGCCATGTCCGGGCGCGGTGGACCTCAGTACAGGTAGAGCTGAGGTGTGGGGGGTCAGAAATGCCCGAACTCCAGGCAGGTGCCCTGCGGTGGGACTGGGCTCTGCCAGCCTGTGTCCGCCAGGCCAGGCTGAGACCAGCACTCGCCAGCCCAGGACATGAACAGAGGGGCGAAGCCTCCAGGGAGCCCCTTGCCTCACCTGTCCAGGTGCACTGAGACCCTGCCCAGGACCTGGGCCCCTGTGCTCCCAGCCCTCCTCCACCCCACCTCCCCTGGCCAGGCGGGTCTCTCTCAAACCAATGCTGAGACCCGAGTGCCCCGAATCCAGACCCGGGGGCTGACGGCCCAGCACCTCGGGGTCCCTGAGCCTGTTCCCCACCCGAGAACAGACCCTTTCTCCCAGGACACTGTCCAGGCCGGAGGGACACCGGGCCCTGGCCAGTATGCGGGCCAGCAGGACCCCCGTCCACCTGGCTGTGACCCTGAGGGCAGCTTTGCTGGGTCCCGCTCTGGGCGCCCCTGCCCTTCTGGGTTCAGTTCCCCCGTGGGGAGGCTCTGTCCATCCACACCAAGGCCCTGCAGCCTCTCTGCCTTCATCCTTAGGGGCGCCGGGCAGGGCTGGAGATGTTGGCCAGGGGGCTGTGATGGAAGGAGGGGCTCAGGGCACCTAGTGGCTGTGGGGGGACAGGCGCTGTGGCTCCCTCCGGGGCTGGGGCCTGTGGGCTTCTGCACACAGAGGGACAACCACCGTGGATGGGGAAATGGAGGCGCAGAGAGGCCGGGGGTCCCCGTACCCCTGGAGCGCCGGTCTGCGCTGGACCGTCAGCATAAAGGTGGGGGCCGCGGCCCAGAGGGGCTAGGAGCAGGGTCTCAGCAGGGCGGGGCTCACCCCAGCCCCCTGCCCTCTCCCCTGCAGTCCTAGGCCCGGATCGCGAGCATCG